TCTGTGGATTATCACATTTATATATATATATATACTTGTTTGTGTATATTTTGATAACGATAATTTATTGATTGCTCTTGCGTGATTTTTTTTCTTTGTATGATTTTTTTTTCTCTGCGCGTGATTGATTGTGATGATTATTATATTTCCGTTAATATCAAGTCATCTCAGTAATTATATTTTTATATTACATTTATATATATTGACATATAAAAATATAAAATAACATTGTCTGCTTCGTTTCTGCGTGTGCGCGCAGAACTCTCTCTCTCTCTCTCTCTCTCTCTCTCTCTCTCTCTCTCTCTCTCTTTCTCTTTCGGAAAAGAGATAATACTCTTTTTTATATCCTTTCTTCTTCTCTCGTCGAGGTTGGCGCGCGTAACCAAAACCCAGCTGTCTTCCGCGGCCTAACGCGCGCGCACTGTAACTCGTTCTCCACCCACCGAGGGGAATCGAAGTGAGCAACGGTCCTGGAACCTGTTTCGAACCGTTTGAGAGTCTCTGCCCTGCCTCGTCCCCTGCATCGTCCATCCCTCATTCCCCCGTCTTCTTCCTCCCGCGACCACCTTTATTCCACCTTTTGCCTCACCTCTCTTCGTCGCTCGTTCTTCTCACTTCTTTTCTCTTTTCTCCGTAACATTCTCTCATCATCTCTCACTTTCTCCTCTTCTCTCTCTCTCTCTCTCTCTCTTCTTCTCCGCCCCGTTCGCTTTTCTTTTTCTCTTGTTCTTTCTTCCCTTCTCTCTCTCTCTCTCTCTCTCTCTTTCTTCTCTTTTCGTCGGTGTGTCGACTCCACGTATTCCGGCGCGTAATATCACACACGTCATCGTCACGAAGATTGTGTACGCGTGTGTACGGTGTCTCCTCTCTCCGTCTCTCGCTGCTCCACACGAGACGAAAGCCACGGGAACATGAACCAAGATAGTTCGGCGGATGAATGAGAAGGAGAGAACGGACGGGGAAGAAGACACCGAAGAAGAGGAAAGAAACGTCCTGGAGAAAGGAAGAAGGAGAGGAGAAACAAAAAAAAAAAGAGATAAACGCGTAGTGTGCGCGAGAGAAAGATAGAGAAAGAGAGAGAGAGAAGAAGACTCGACACTGGAAAGGCAAGGCGGATGGGGTACGGCACACGCCACACGCCATCATAATGGAATAATGAGGCAGAGACGATAGCAATCGCGCGCAGAGGCTCTTTTTCCGCGCAAGACGACCGTGTATTGAAGCGCCGGTGAGAGAGCTGTGCGCGGCCGCGCGCGAGCATAGAAAACGTCGTGGCTGAATTGAGCAAATCAGAGCCACATCCGATGAGGTCAGATCGGGAATGGTCGTGCCTCCAAGACACTGCACGTTCTCGTCATAAATAAGCGCGAAATACGGCAGAATGTGTGCGAGAAATCTTATCGCGCACGTAAAACACGACGACGACTTGACAAACTCGCAATAAAATGAAAAAAATCTCGCGTGTGTGTGTATAACGATATATATATATATATATATATATATATATATATATATATATATGTATATATAATACATACGATTATTAACTTGAGCAACTCGCAATAAAGATATCGTTGCCTTATTAGCGTCTATTATCGCTTTTTATATATAGATTACGGGATAAAAAGAAAGAGAGAACACGTGTGTGATTAATCACACACGTGTGTGTGTGTGTGTGACGCGACAAATGTCGAATCGCGCATTAGCCGAATACTTTTTTTTTTTTTTTTCTTTTTTTTTTTCATACTGGTATGAATGTGAGGGAAGAACAAGGGCAACACGGTAGGAGATTACAGCAGGAGAAGAAGAAGCTGTGGCACGTGACCCCGAAGAACACCAGAGTCAACTCGCTTAAGTAGCCGAGCTCTGCTCTTTGACCCAGCCGACAATTTCGAATTATGTCTCTCGGAGGGACAGCGAGGGAACGAGATAGAAAAAGAGAGAAAGAGAGAGAGAGAGAGAGAGAGAGGGAGGAAAAGAGGGAGGGAGGGAGAGAGAGCGGATATAGCGTGTAGTTAGAAACGGTCTCCCCTTCTTCGGTTACGAAGAGGTATGACGTTTTATTTGCAACTTCTTCGTATCTAAGGCGACCGGAATGCTAATCTGGTGTCGCTCGTGGCTTCGCCGTAATTAGTCAGAGGATGAGGTGGTAGTCGAGAGAGCCCCGAGAGAGAGATAGAGACAGAGAGAGCAAAGCCGCGCTCTTTATCTCCGCAGCTCGTTTTGAATGGAAGAAGAGCGCGAGTTGAGAAAAAAAAAAAGCGAGTTGAGTATCTAATCTCAAACGGACTTATTTCATTCAATTATTCGCGTTAACCGTACAAGTCAGTTTTTATCGCGCTCGATTACACACTACTTGATTTCTCTTCGAGCAATTTTTCGTTTCGTCGAATGCGAATAATTTTTTTTTTTTTATCGTCGTTACAAGATGTCCCCGAAACGATCGAATAAATTCTTTTTTTTTAGAACAAACTCGATTGATTTCTCAACAGATATTTTTCGTTTCGCGACGACGATTTGATTATTTAAACACAGAAAGGCGAGCTTGATCTTTTTACAACAACAACAAAAAAATGCACTCCAGCTCTCCAGGCGGCAAGAGATTATTTCGCGATCTCTCGCGAGAGAGAGAGCAGAGTTCTTCCTTTCGCGCTTAAGAAACACTGAGAATCGCTGAGAGAGAAGAGTATTCTCTCTACAACATGCGTAGTTGTAGTTCTTCTCGCTGAGGAAGACAAATGATCCACTCCGACGCGAGACAGTTAGCGTACGGCGAGAGGCGTTGGCCACGAAGAAGCGCCTCTTAGTTTCCAAGCGTGGCCCCGGGGCAGACCGACTCATTCCGCTTGATCTCCATTGCCATTATGATATTAATGAAATGCCGCTAAAAAGGTGTGTTTGCTCGGTAACGCGGCGAGGCCAAGGGGGGTTGGTGGGAGGAGGAGGAGGCTGTGGGGATAGATGTTGAAGCCCACATAAAATAGTCTTGCCCGATATGGCGCGCGGGACCGCGCGCGCGACTATGCCACCGTCATGGCGATCCGTGTTGTCGTAGTTGTCTCCGTCGCGTTCGTCGCGTTATCATCCCGCGTATGTATATATATATATAGTTGTTGACGTTGTCGCAACAACGAGACGTCGTCACTGACGATTCTCCGTCGTCGTTTCTCCTCTCTCTCGCGTTGCCGCAACATTTTCGGCAACGGATATTATTGTTTTGAAATGGTTTTTTTTTTTTTTTTAATTCAATTTTTTGGAGCCAAAGTCTCCGAATTCAAATTTCCTCAGCACATTTTCTTATCTGTCGTTTCACTTTTGTGTCTCATTTATATATGTATATATCACACTTCAAAGAATAGAGCTCGCGCTCGCACAATTCGTCCGCTTCGCGGATGAGATCGGATTCGAATTGACTCCAAAGGTGAGAATAAGCTACCGCTTCCTTCGCGTTCGGAGGACGAAAATCGGTTCAAGAGGGTTGAACGACCTCTCCGAGAAACCCTTTGTGAACCCTAACATCTCAGATTTTTTTGCGATCACGCGGCGTCATAAGCGGGATTCATATAATTCTGTCGCTCGTAATAATCGCTGTTATATCCCAAAACGTTTTCTCATTTTTGGTCGTATTGTTTTATCGTCGATGACTCTCGGCGTTGTGTCACCGATCGATTAGGTGTCTTCCGGCACACGCGTGCAAAAGCAAGAAAGGAGAGAAAGGAAGAGAGAGAGAGAGAGAAAGAGAGATAAAGGAGATAAACTCGGGCCACAGAAAGCAGAGGAGTGGAATTCGCGAGTATGAAGGAAGAGCAAAAGAGACGAGAGAGGAAAGAGGACACGGAGGACTAAGAGAGAGAAGTGCACACACACACACACACACACACTCTCTCTCTCTCTCTCTCTCTCTCTTTCTCTCCCTCTCTCTTTTTCTCTCGCACGGGGGTGCGCCCACGCCACGGTGACGTCATCCGGCGAACGTCGGTTGTGGTACCCGGCGATGAACGCGTTGGTGTTCAAACGTTCGGGGCACCGAGAGAAGGAGGAAAGATTGACGAGACAGAGACGCTATCGCGCGCCTCGAGGAAGGGAACGTGGAGCCGGTCGTGCGGTATTACCGAGGGAGGGATAGCCGGATGGAGAGAGGAGACACACCGCGCGAAAGATGTACCGGGTTCGGAATGGTTGGAGAAACCGGGGGAGAGAGACCCATGAGAGGTAAAACGCGACAGAGAGAAGACATCTTTGCGCGCGCGAAGGGTTGGCGAGAGAAGGAGAGTGGCGCGTTCAAGAGAGAGAAAGAGAAAGAGACAGAGAGAGAGAGAGAGAGGGAGGAGGGGGGATGGGGCAAGGAATGAATGGAGATTGCAGACCACGCGGGAGAGACGAATGGCCCGGAACCCGGTGGAGGAAACGGGGGCGAGACAAGGGCGAGGAGAGCCTCGCGAGAGAGGAAGCTAACGAAGAGACACGGCTAAAGGTGGGACACAAGAGGGGGGGGGGAGAAGGGGGCTATACGTTTCGCGTAGATAATCACCGTCAACAGTAGCGGGAGTAAGCACCGGGGTGATGTCGACGACACGTGACGACGCTTGGCTGGCTGAATCTCCCGTCGTTGGATAAGGCGCGATACGCGAAAGAAGCGAAGAAACCTACAACAACGACGAAGACGAAGACGAAGACGACGACGACGACGACGACGACACATTAGGCCACCTCCTCCTGATCGCGTTCTCCTCGCTTCTTCACGGACCGAACCGGAGGAGCAGCGCGCGAGTGCACGCGCGCGAACATGCGAGCGCACTCTCCAGGCACCCGAGACAGCTTCGCGCGCGAGCCACGCTTTATTAGTCTAGCGCGGGCCATCGTGAACCCCTTTAGTTGCTTCGCTACGCTTCGCCTTGTCTCGCATCTCTCGCATCTCAACGGCATCACTTCGCCCCCCCCCTCCCCCTCGCCGTCTCGCCTCGCGTCCCCGTCTCCTTGTCGCGCGTCTCGCCTCCTCGCGCCTCGCCGTGCGTATATCGCCATTGGCCATCGGCCATCGGATCAACGAGAGAGAGACCCGTCGTCGGAACGATCGTAGAGAGACGCGAGTGAGAGCGCCCGTGATAATTGAAAACCGGCGTTGAGGAGGACGCGTGGAGGATAGAGAGACGAGAAGAAGAAAAAAAAAATAAATAAATAAATTTGTGCGCGAAGAAGAAGAGGATTTTCGGGAAGGTGGGGAGCAGTGGTGGTTGGTGTCAAAGAGGAGCGCGGAAGGTCGATGCTCCGCAAGGAAACGCGAGAAGAGAAGAAGTCAGAGAGAGAGCGGTATTTTCTTCTTGTGCGATCAACAGTGCAAACAACACACTTGGACGAAACACGTCGCGCGTTCGCGAACGAAAAACTGTTTTTTTTTCTTTTCCCCCCGCTCGGATACGATCTCTCATTCATTCGGAAGAGAGATCCGACGAGAGAAGAGCAGCAAACGCGTCGAGATTCGCGAACGAACGTTCGCTTCGTCGCGACGCTAAGGTGTGAGAGGTTCGCGCTCTCGAAACTCTTCGGAAACTTCGTTCTTCTTCTTCTGGATTCGTGAACACGTGATCAATTGGCAAAAAACTACTACTGTATACAGTGTACAACCTCGAGTTCTCATCTGTCCAGCGGTTTTTTGTTCTCTTTTCGACATCGGCGATCTCTTCTCATGCTGAGGAACAGCAAGAAAACTTTGTGTTTCGAATCGATTCTTTGTCAATTGAAACGCTGGATGTTCCGGCATTGGTTCAAGTGTTATCCGTTTCTTCTCGCGAAGAAGTTCCTCGATCACGCAAAAACCTCGATCACTCCCCGTCCCGAGCTTAAAACCCAAGACCGAGTGACCCCGCGTGTGGACAGGGGTGTCTCCGCGTCGCCGTGACATGTACGTGCGTTCACCACGGTGTTCCTCGGGATCGTCGTCGTCGACGGGACAGGCACACGGGACGGCGGTGCGCCGCGGAAGAACGAGACGTCAGAAACGATCGCGAGGTATCACGTGGGTCGTCGGCAACCCGAAGACGACGACGACGACGACGACGACGACGACGACGACGACAACCGGCGACGGGACAGGTTGAAAAGATGCTGGCACTCGCGATGCGCCGCGAACACTCGACCGGGCGCAGCAATTACGAGCCGGCGAATCCACTAGCGGGGTTCGAGCACCTGCAGCACAACAGCGGCGGCAACCCCTTCGCGGTGGTGCCCACCGCCGAGGGGCGAGTGCGCGACACCGGGACCAGACCGGAACCCGAGGGCGAGCTGCAAGAGTTCGTGGACATTGCGCAGGTGCAGCAGCTGCTTCAGCAACAGCAGCAGCAGCAGCAACAACAACAACAACATCAGCAGCAGCAGCAGCAGCAGCAGCATCATCATCATCATCATCATCATCAGCAACAGGCAACCACCGCGGCCGCGGCCGCGTCCTGCATATGGGGCGCGGTTTATCCACCGCCGCCACCCGCTCTGGGATATCATCACCATCATCATCATCATCATCATGCGCCACCACCGTCAGGTAAGATCGCGACGAGTTTACCGAGTGTATGTGTATTATGTATATCTTTCGTGACGAGAAGTCGAATGGAAGGTTCGATGATGCTCTTTCTTGTTAGGAAAGAGCGCGAAACACCCCCGCGAAAATTCGCAGTTTGTCATTTATCTGCCGGTTACGCGGAAATCTCTAGATATATTTTTTTAGGTTCTTGTTCGCGTGATTCTTTTCACGCGAAGAACGCAAGACACTGTCTGAAATGAATCGCGTTGTTCTCGTCAGATCACACGTAGTGTTTCTTCTCCGTCGTTTTTCGTCTCGATCAGAGAACATCGCGGCCCCTCACAGTTTTCCACACAGTATTGAACACACGGATTTTTAAACACTACAAGAGACTATTAAATGCGACAATCGATCTTTATAAGAGAGCTTTAAAATCGACACGTTGAAACCTGTATTTCTAGACTGGCTATTAAGTTTCTTGTCACCAATGTGGCTCGTGGAAGATAGCGAGAGAGAGAGAGAGAGAGAGAGCCTTCGTTCTCGGTCCCCGCGTGCCGTTGTTGTTGATAAAACGATAGAAGAACACCGAGAACGAGTGAAAAACTCGGAGTCGCATTCATTCCGGAAAGGATTTATTTTCGAAATTTTGTTGCACGGAAAATTGCGCATTGCACGACCGACGATAATCCAAGTATTTTTTTAAATCTCGCACGTTTAACAAAATATTCGACAACTTCGTTTTCTCCCGCGCGCGATAATTAATTTTCACCAAAAACATATATTTAAATATATTAAAATATCATGTGTTTAAATTATCTCGAATTTGGTTAAATACTCGATGATTTTAACATTTCTTCGGTGTTTTTTTTTTTTTTTTTTTATCGTTCGGTTGAGTTACAACAAGAGCGAAGATCAATATTGTAGCAATATTGTATCTCGAAATATTTCGAACCATTCTCCATTCGACTTCCATCGAAAGATTTACAATATATACACATACGTGTGTGCGTACGTGAATATAAAAACCTCTACTGGATAACTAAAACTAAAAATCAATTAATCGCTAGGCAAAAGTTAGTGTTCTCAATTAATTACTTGAAAATGGATATAATTTTGTGGCTTACAAAAAAACCAAAAACATTTAGAGAAACAAACAATTTAATGTTTTTTTTTAACCCCGTAACATCAGTTCCCTTTCGAAACAATTGGGCCGTGACGCGTTCGCCAGGTTTTAAATTAATTGCTACACATTTTTTCTAACCAATTGCTGCAATAGTCGACGTCTTACGTAATGATATTGACAGATGAAGGAAACTAACGATTCATCCATTCCCGCCGTAAACGCGCAATTGAGAATCGCTTTTCTACCATTAACCACGTTAAACAAACGTATCATAAAAAAAAAAAAATGTAACCGAGACTTGTATTGGTGTAATTTCGCTGCAATTAATGAAAAAGTGCTCTCTCTCTAACAACTCGGACGCGAGAGTATTTGAAAAAAAACAAAAAAATGCTTCTCGCTGCGCTCTTGTTTCATCACATGACAAACGATGTTTTGCATCTTTCTGTATTCACGTGTGTGTGAATCCTTAGTAGACAATTTTTATATCATTTTTTTCAACTCTCACACAAGCGAGAGAGAGTTTCTCGCGGTGTTTGGATCTTGCCGTCGGACACCGAAAACAGAGTAATCTTGTTACAATCTGTTCGAGATTTCTTATCGTCGAAAGACGATATATGATGTTTTTTTTAAATTCAAAATCAACATCAATTGTTATCACAAAATTCTTGTCCGAAATTTGAACGAAAGACAAAAAACTACACGCTGTGAATTGAATTCCAAAACCAGCGGTTGAACTTCGATGAACAATTTTGCGTTCGTGTGGCGGAAAATTGCGATACGCACACAAATAAGTTCTCCTACATTTATATATATATATACATAACTTCGCGATAGCGAACAATTGGTGCGATTAGAAAACAACAATAAGAAAAGATCGCGTGAAAGTCACTAACCGCGAGCGAAAGAACGAGATAGAAACTCTTTAAATTCCGCGCGCCGTCGGTAGTCCCCGCATGTTGAGTCCGGCGCGTGTTGTATGTAAGCTCGAGTTTGTACAAAAGAACGAAAAACGCGCCCCGGCTCTTGGGTGTAAAACGATTAAAATCGATGAGAGATACACGAGGCTGCGGTTCCCGAACGGACCGCGTCCAATCTGTTCCGGCGCGCGCGCGGAAACTCCCTTCGGTAATGCGATACGTAACATAACGTTTATCCCGCGTCTACATTATTCAAGAGAGAAAGAGATATATATATATATACGTTTACACATCCCGTATACAATATTCACGAGAAGAGAGAGTTCTCTCGGAGAGAATAAACGTATGCGATTAAATTTTTTTCGAAAAGTTTTTCAATCTTTTGCGAAAGAAAAAAGAAGAGAAAAAACCGCTCCAAGTTGAGTTTTGGCGAGAAAACTTTTTTTCTAAACTCCAACATTTCGCAAAAAATCTCTCATCACCTCTGTGCCGCGCTGCGAACGCACGTTTCAATCATAATCCCAGTTTGATTGACTTACGACACGGGAGAGAGAGAGAGAGCCGTAACAGTGTTATCTGTCCGCTCTACAGATAAGAAAAAACTTTTTTTTTTTTTTCCATCCCCACGCACGCAAGTGCGCGCGGATCGAAGCGCAAGTTTCCATAGGCCGCTGCCTATTGTTTAAAAGTGTCGTAGTCCCCCCGTATGGCAAACGCGCATAGTAAATCGCATGTACACGCTTGACATTTCGTTATTATTATACGGAGATTCGTAAGACAGGAAATCGTACATCATACATGAACCAACAGTGGGCGGATAAAAGGGAACGAGTCGCTCTCTCTCTCTCTCTCTCTCCTCTCTCATTCTCTCATTCTCTCTCTGTCTCTCTCTATGCAGAGAGAGTCCTTTTAATAATGCTGCCTCGCTTGTCTTCTTTCTCTTTAAAAAAAAAAAAAAAAAAAAGCTACACGCAAAAATGTGCGTAGCAAAAGAACAGGACGCGCGCGCGCGCAATAGTTTTTGTACCATCACTTCTTTCGTCCAACGACGCAATTGTGTGCAAATTTTCCTGCCACGGAAAAATTGCACTGGAATTGGTTTTGTTTTTTTTTTTTTTTTTTGTTTTTCCAAACGCGCGCGTTAATCCAATCCGTTTGACATTAATCCACTTGAGCGCAAATTTCTTCGCAATTTGCCCACGCACACACACACACACACGTGCCTTTTAAAAAAATATTGAGTGAAACTACGGACGAAATTACGGAATATACAATATCGATTAGTGTGTGCGAGTCCGAAATGTATTATCTGAAAAATAAAAAAAAAATTAATATTGTGAAAATTACACTCTCCGTTTAACGCGTCAGCTCCAATTCTCGCTACGTGCTAAAAAGGTTTTTCTTTTTTTAAATAACGAATAGAAAAAAACGTTTTCGACAAAAATAATGAGTAAAATATTCGATCCTTTGGAAAAAAACGATGAATAAATAATTCGGGGCCAAAAATCAATTATAGAAACAGTATCAGTTAATGAAAGTCTATTAATATAATCAGACGTAAACGCGGGATAAAAATATCATTGATTTATCATCACGCTTACGTCGCATGACGAGGTATATAACCATATGGCCGAAATGCCGTCATGTCTTATCGCATACGTCAAAGCTGACGTACACTTACCCCGACAATCGATCGTAAAAACACAATACAATTTTTATCGCAAATTATAACTTACGTACGTACGGCGAGAAGTTGGTACGTAGGTACCGCACGTCGCGCAAACGTCACATCGTAAGAAATGCATTTGTCGCGATAAAAATATAAACGTTTCTCTGCAGATTTTACCTCTGCACTCCCCCGTTTTTTTTATTGGAAATTAAAAAAAGAAAGGTCTGAATGTTTAAAAAAAGAACCAAATATATACAAGAAAAGCTTTATCGGAAGCGCGTTTAAATAGATTGTTAGCGTGTAATATCAAACTTGTTGTGAACGATAATAGATGATAATGAACGTGAAATTGACGATAATTATTCGTTAAACGATAATTATTCGGTTTTTGGATTCTATATTTTGGACACCTACTGCGACACATTGACGTAGTTTTTATATATATATATAAATTGCAAATTGAGAGATGTAGGGAGAAAAAACAATATTGACATCAAAAGAGTTTTTCGAACACACGTGTTACAAAAGTGAGCGAAAAAAAAACAAATTACATACATATTTACGTTGTTTGTTTAGCAAAGTAACTTGCAAACAAATATACGGTTTTGTTAAATAAATATAAATTAAATCAGGAAGGACTTTGATGATCTCCGTATTGGCGAATGTGTGGAATGAACATTTTGTTGTGTCGTATAGAATTCAATTCGTAATAAATTCAATTCTCGAATTCTCTGTGTAGTTAATTTACACGTTAAAAATATTATTCGCACGTTCTACGTACTTGTGGTTCTCAAACTTTTGTTTCTTGATTTGGGGATAATTTTTGTCGAGACAATAATTCTCGCGTCAGAGAGACTTTTGCAATTTCTTGTCTCCCGATTCGAGAAGTACCACAAAATATATCATATTGTGTCAACAAATATATCTCAACATCTGCTGGATCTCCGTAATGCGGATTCGTTAACAACCCTCAGAACGGCTAACGATACGTGAAAAAATCGAAAAGAGAGAAGAGAAACAATTTCCGAATCTCTTTCGGATTTCGTGATCTTTATCAGCGCGCGACAGATTCTCCTAGCTTTCGTACTAATAATAGAAACACGCCAATTGAGATCGAGCATTTTGTCTTGCAAGGTCTGCGCTCACTCCCTTTATATTGCGGCGCGTAATTGTCCGGCGGCGGTCTTACGCGAGAGAGGGTGTCGCGACGACGACGACGACGACGACGACGCGCCCGGTAGAGAAAAATGGATCCGTTTTTACGCGCGCAATTCAATGTAGCGGCGATCCATGTGTGTGTGTGTGGAATCGC